AAAAAAAAAAAAAAAAAAAAAAAAAAAAAGTGAAATCATGTGATGATTTAACTTAAGCCTAAAGTAGATCTTTCAATATTGATGAGCATTTTTTAAGAACTTTTATGGTTAGCTGTTGTTGGCAAAAACCTGGATGAAGAGACAAATTGTCTTATTGTGCTGTGGGTTAGTCAAGTGATTTTGCAAGGTTGCTGTGCCTGTTGTGGGTGTATGTCTAGGACAATTCTAGAGTGGTAGGATTATTTGTGATTGCTGATGCTGAATGCTGATTCAGTTTCTTTCTTTTCTTTGTTAATTGTTATCAGCGAGTACATGTTTATTTATTGGCATTTTGTTATGTGTGGCTGTTTAAGGGAGGTTATCAAGATGGGGGGTGTGGTCGTGTACCCAGCTCTAAAATTTTTCCATTATTCATGTACATTTTACCTGTTCTCTGAAAACTTAATGCCTATAAACTGCCTTAGGTTTGTTGTCTTTAAGTGACCAGCTCACTGTTGTTGTCTTCTTTTGAGATTTCACTTCTCATGATATTAAATTCACTATTGTTTTAATCTTCATAAAATTTTGGTTTCAGGACACAATGTAGCCTTATTTAAGACAGATTATACTCGATGCTAGTCATGTTATTCACTAGTTACCGGTAAAGGTTTTATCTTTATTTTTGTAGATATGAAAAGATCAAAGGAACATTTTTAAACAAGTATGGTTCTCCTCCTGAATTCTATGCCAGAGCTCCAGGGAGAGTGAATATTATTGGTAAGCGTTGGTTATTCTGCTATCCTATGAGTAACTGTCTCTTGTTTAGACTGTCAGACAGAGATGATTAACACAATTATTAGTTTCTGAAGGAACAGTTAGGCTGCATTGGCAGGCAAGTGGAGCATAATGTCATAATGGAAACATCACCTTCACAAACTTGCTACAGCAGGGCAGCAGAAAATAGCACTCTCGCATTGTCCAGGACAAGTTGATTTTCCTTCTGGGCATTTGAGCGACTTTTTATTCTTTTTTGCCTGTTGGGTAAGGGATCAGGCAAGTTATCAGCCAAGTTAAGACTTTCCCAGGGCAAGCAAAATTTTGAGAGCAACCTGTCCCCAGGGCAAGCTGAAATTCAAGTTTTTTCGAGCCTTGTAAACAGCGATTAATTATAATACCATGATAAATTACTGCTGATTAACCTTTGCCTCCTCAAAAGCCCTTGTCCAATTTATTTCGCTGTTATTACTGGCTGTAGTACATTTCTTTGATTATACTGAGAACTCTTAATTATCATTATTACTGTTTGCAGGAGAACATATAGATTACTGTGGCTATGGAGTATTACCAATGGCTGTGGAACAGGATATTGTGATAGCCGTAGCACCTAATGATCAGAAAACACTCAATATATCCAATACATTCAATGATTTTCAGTAAGTGACCACTGCCTCAAAACAGGATCTAAAAATGTATCACACTTATTATTTTCTTTTCCTCTGATATCTCTGTGAAGGTTGAAAGCCAAGAGGAGAGAGAAAGAGTCAGAGCTTACAAAATTAAACATAAACCATGAGATTGATGTAACTTAAAAGTTTGATTATTTTGCTTTAATTTTGACAGAGATTTTAGTACTAGCTGTGAATATTACAAAATTGATGGGAAGGAGTGGTACCACTATTTCCTCTGTGGTTATAAGGTATGAAGAAATTTATGATTTATGTACATGTTTTTAGAGCAGTTTACTTTATAATGGCTTGTTCCAGAAAATATCCACACCCCTCCTACTGGTTTTTTTTAGTTTGAACCACCCTCCCATGCCATTAGAAATACTAAATTTGGTTCATACTTTCCTTTAAAAGTCTTAGTTTGCTTTTGAGACCTCTCCCTCCTTGCCATTTCCAATAACCCTCCTTTGGGTGGGTAATGGGTATTTTCTATAGCAAACATATTCCTGTGTGAAATAAAATTTTGTAATTTCCACTTGCCGGTAACTGAAATCTAAAAATATTAATTCACCTCCAACTGATTGCTAAGTGAGAAACGCAGTGGCCTCATGGTTAATGCACTCGACTCTGGATCGAGCAGTCCTGGCTGGGGACATTGTGTTGTGTTCTTGGGCAAGCCACTTTACTCTCACAATGCCTCTCTCCACCCAGATGTATATGAAATGGGTACTGGCAAATTCAGTGCTGGGAGTAACCCTGCAATGGACTAGCATCCAGGGCGGAGTAGAAATATTTCTAGTCATTTCATGCTACAGAAACTGGGATAAGCTCTGGCCTGATAAGCCACTTGGCTTGTATGCAGACTTAACCTACCTTTACCACTGAATCCTACGCATTTCGTTTGCCATTAGTTACAAGAATTCTGTGGTACATCAAAATGGACGGCACTAAGTCATATTAAAAGAGTTTCATCTATATTCTCAGCTAGCCAGTACACCCTCTCACTATGCAATCAGATTGAGGTCTAGAAAACCTGCTGGATTCACTCTGGTTCTGCTTGTGTATACTGGCAGTTCTCCTAGAACTCAAGTGTGCTTTTTTTCCTTCATAGCAGACCCTGTTTGCATGGAGGCAGGGTCCCCTTGGTAACTGGGCTACCCAGCCAGGAGGGGTAAAACATAGCAGGACAATGTTTTGACATTGTCAGGTTTTATTTATTTTAATTCTTGTAGGGACTACTGGACCACATGAAGATTACATCTCCAGTAGGCTTGAACCTTGTTGTGGATGGAACTGTACCAAAGGTTTGAAATCTTATTCCTGGGATCTTCTTTTTATAAACAAATCTGACTTGTTATTGAAATCTTCTGCAAACAATTTTTCAGTGTTTATGACAGGCAGGCAACAACTGTTAGGATTGTAGGTACATGTGTGCAATGTGTGCAGACATATGGGTTATTGACCAAGTGTGAGGTCAAGATGGTTGGATATTGGTCAAGTTCTCTTTTTTGCGTGTTTATGGAATGAGACAAAGTCAAGGTCCATAAACTCACAAAAAAAGAATGGGGTCAATATCCAGCCATCTTGACCGAACAAGCTTCTTCAATAAAGAATTTATTATATGGCTTTCTTTTGGGACATAGCAGGTAGTTCCAAACGGGTAGGATAGCTCCATCTTGCCTGATCAGGTAGCCAATCACAGTGCAGGATTTGGTTTATCTTGCCTGCTCATGGAGCTGGCAATATAAGAAAATGCACTTTTGGTGGATTATGTTGCTGTTATTGTGTGCACGTATTGCTTTAATGAATAATTCTCCTAAGTATCATTATTTTACAAAGCTCTCTAAACCCCTAGCTCTTTTTCTGTTTACTTACATGTATCTTGACGAAGAGTGCAGGGTTGTCTAGTTCGTCTGCTCTGGTCTGCTGCTCAGGACTGGCAACAGTTCATGCTAATGGACTTGAACTGAGTAAGGTATGCAACACAAGTCAGTAAGGCAGAAACCATTTTACTTTTCATTACCCTAACATTCACTTAAATTGCTTAGTTAAACCCTTCCTTCCTTTGTGAATTTTGGCTAGGGAAATCCCAGCTGTCATTTGCAGGGGTTTCATTTATGTTTTCAGCAGGACTATAACTTGCTTTCACAGGTGGGCAAAACTACTTGAACTGATCTTCTTTATAAGAACAACTTTCTGCTAGATGAAAGTGAAGAATGATCGTTGCAGTAAATTTTCCAATTCAAGCAACTGGAAAGAAGAAGCCTGAAAAAATCAGGGCTTCAACCGGATTCGAACCCGTGACCTGCGCAAATAGCGGTATTCGTGAAGGTTATGGGTTCGAATCCTGTTGAAATCCTGATTTCTTCAGGCTTCTTCTTTCCAATTGGTTAAATTGGAAAATTTACTGCGATGATAATTCTTCACTTTCATCTACAACCGCAGTTCCTATATGAATTATTTCATATATACTTCACATTATTTCTGCTAGATGGTCAAACCAGGCAGATAAAATCATCCCCAAATTTGCCTGGTGTCCAGCCTGGAATAAAACCCCTGCATTTCTCTAGTCCCTTAGATGTTGCTGTCTTAAGATTCAGTTTGTAACACTTCAAAAATATGATATAGCCTTTTTTGTGCAATCAGTCGCCAAGGAGCCTCACTCTTGTTAGTTTACTATGCTTGCCTGTGGGAGGATTGGGGTGCAATGAATTCAGCTTTGACTTTCTCTTCCAAGTCCTTATATAAATAGGATTTCTTCTGCTTTGCCACCCATGTGAAAAGAAATTCTTGTAGACCATGTAGTCAGAAGTTGCCTTCTATTAAATAAACCATCTGCAAGGCTGTGAGCATTTACCTTGTCAAACTAACTCATGTCATTAATTAGCTGTTAAATCATCGTCATCATCATCATCAACTTAAAGTAGCCGAGAACTGACATTAATGCACATCCACACACATTGGTGTCTGTACATGCACTGCAGCACCCATGCAATGTCCAAAACATTTGTTTTTTAAATTAATTATATTTATTTGTATAACAATTTACATGTACAATATAGTACAGCATATTTACAAAAAAATAAATATATAAAAATAAATTACAAAATAAAATACAAAAGAAACAGGCGATGCTGGCTACAATCTAAATTGCAAACTTTTACAATTTGTTTTATAATAGAAATTATAACATTTTTGCTATTTTCTTTGAATCCCATAGCATGAACTTGCAGAGGTTTGCACGAAATGTGAACGTTATATTGGAACTGAAGGTGGAGGGTAAGTAGCTAAAAGCATGTGAAACATGCTGAGAAAATAACTGTTTTAAATGAGCAAAAACTGAGAGAGAACTGTGGACTTTTAATTGACATATGAACCACATTAAGGCAGCCAAAGCAGTGATTACATGTGAAGGATCACTTTTAAACTCATTTAGCCTCAAGTCCGTGAAGTTCAATAGTTTGCCGAATGACTTGATCATCTGAAAAAACGTTTTGACTTTGAGGCACATAGACCGTTTTTTCTTTTGTTTTTAAACGAGCCCAGTTTGATTTAAATGAAATTAGGCGTGTCTAAAACTCATTGTCATAGAAAGGTTTTACGGCATTGGGGCTCGGACGCAAAGCCGCAAAATATTAGGAATGGCGTCCACATGGGAGCGGTAGAAAATGAATGAAATATTAAAGTAGAGTGTCGTTGATGCTGATAAAAATGTAACCGTTTTGTTGTGTTTTACAGTATGGACCAATCCATTTCATTTTTGGCTGAACCAGGAACAGTAAGTAAAACGATTTCTCAGTAAAACTATACGTATAAAAATACTTCAGTACTAAATGTAACTCAAAATATTGTTCATCTATGCGTCAAACTTTTCATGCCAATTAACGTGATTTATGTATCAGTGGACACTAAGAAGCACTGAAAGATAACTTTATGTACATGCAAGTAGTTGACTTGCCACTGAGTTAATTCTCCCTAACACGTAATTCTCCAGTTACCGGTCGTTTAACTCCCAAGTCAAGTAGCACCCTAGCCGGTTAGCCCCTAACCAATAGTCGATTAGCCCCCATCCACGCTTAAAGAACGAGAAATAGACAGTGTTTTCGATTTCTGGTTGGGGACTAAACGGTCAGGGGATAATCAACTTGGGGGCCAAAGACCTGATACCAATTCTCCTTTGATGTTTTTCTTTTGCTTGTTTGTGACTTTATAGGCTAAGCACATCGAGTTTGATCCCATCAGGGCATATGACGTCACTCTCCCAGACGGTATTGTGTTTGTGATCGCAAATAGCTTGGTATGTATTTTAAGCTGGGTTTCTAGCGTTGATGCAAAATAATGTAGTTCTTTTACTTCAGAGAAGTCTAGCTCAGACAAACCAAATGTGTTCACCGTTTCAAAGCATTGCCACAATCCCTGCGGCTATTAAAATTCTCACGTCATTTTTCGAACGACTCAGGACTTTCATTTTATCAGATGTTAAGTTCCGCGCAACTTTTATCGCAACATCTAGTGTTACACTTTTCTGCTCCCTATTGTTCTTCTTATTTTTAGCAGAAAGTTGGGCTTTTCTTTAGTACTAACTTATCTTCCCTATTGGGGATGCTAAATGCATGGAAAGCGCGCGATTTTGTGATACATGGGTCCTCTTTTATGGTCAAAGCTTCCAAAAGGCTTGAGAGAATTGCCAAATGTAGCAACGTTTAGGAATAAAATAAGAAAATTGGACCTTTCGGCTTATCTAAGTAACAACAGCAATTGCTGCAACCTGTGCGGACAGTAAATTTTTTCGCCCGAAATAAGAGGCCTCGCTCATCTATTAAGAAGAGAGGACGAATATTTAGAATTTCAAATGTACATTAATATAGAATTTTAGAATGTTAAACTTTAATTAATATAACATTATAATTAAGGCGTTTCTTAGGACAACATATACTCTTTTATTTCCTTTCATTGTTTGCCAATATTTCAATTTTAATTTTTTAAGAGAATCCTATAATACTATTAATGAAAATTTTTAGGTAGAGTTGATACAGTGTCCCCAATTAGCCCACATGGGCTAAATACTTTGACACTTAAATAAGTTCTTACTAACTTAAAGTACGCGATTAATTTAAATCTGAATCAAAAGACCGTTATAGATGCTAAGGTTGTTTATATGTAGGTGGAAATGAAGAAATCTGCAACAGCTGGGACGCATTTTAACGCCAGAGTTGTAGAGTGTCGGTTAGCGGCCAAGGTATGTTTGTCTAACTTTGACTAAAGACGGAAAAGAAACTCGATGTTGTAAGTGACCAAGCTTGAGTTTCGGGTGTCTTCCTGATGTCGAGCACTCCTGAGGTACGACTCCGTAAAGAACGGCTGAAATGTGAGGGCCGATAGAGACCTTGTAGAAGGTCTCAGCATAAAATAAAATAAGTAAGAAAACTCCACCGAAGAGGAAATATTACGCCAGAATAAATTCTCAAACACTCTTCTGTCCCCGGCGAGGATTGTTATTAAAGAAACTGTTATGGAACCAAGGTTATGAATTTACCTCCGCTTCTTTTCACCCATAGGTGTTGGCTAAAGAAAGCGGCCTGGATTGGAAAAGTGTGCGACGTTTGAGTGAGGTACAGCAAGGCAAAGAAAAGAGCTTGGATGAAATGTAAGCTGTGCGTAGTTAACAATGCGTCGTTTTAATTCAAATGAATCTCAAATGAACAGGTGTTTTCAAATCAAATGTGGAATATTTATTATTGTGATAGAACTGATTCGAGTAAGAATGTAACGTATGTTTTTTTGTTCGTGTTTGATACAGGGTACAGATGGTCGACTCATGTCTTCATTCAGAGCCCTACACAAAGGAAGAGCTTTGCAAATTTTTTGAACTCTCGGTATGTTGATAGAACAAAACCAGGTGCAATTTGTGCCCTAGTCTCCCGGTCTTGTGATTTCTAAAGTAATAACTAGCCTTTCTTAAAAGGCCCCAGCAAACCAGGGGCCCGTTTCTCGAAGGTCCCGAAAATTTTTCGCACCCGGAAAGCCATAGCAATATCTGGATTACAGAGCTGTTTTATTCACATATTCACATATTCTTAACACGATCAGTGGTTCTCTTCATTCAAGAAGTTTCAAGCGTATACGCTTCTCCATTTTTAGATACAGATGAGCTAAAAATGACTTTTCGGGCCCGAAAAGTTTCCGGGACTTTCGAGAAACAGGCCCCAGGAACCAGTTGTGTTTCCCAAAATTATTTCATTAGCGTGCAAATTTGTTACGGAAGGAAAACATTTTTTTGTTTTGCGCAAAGACGCTGAAATAAAATTTTCATCCGCAACAAATGCTTGGCTAAACTTTGAAGTGGTAACAGTCTGGTAACAAGCTTTGTAAATACGAGCAGATAAATATTTGCTGTAACCTCGCTAGAATTAGGTGCGCCCGGCCTCTTGGTTACAACTCAAGTCATTGCTTTTACATTGTTTTACAGGAGGAAGAGTTGATCAACCAGTGCATGAGTCCCTCAACTGCGGGTGTAAATAGCTTTAAACTTCACGACCGAGCCAAGCATGTCTACTCTGAAGCGTCTCGAGTGCTCAAGTTTAAAAACGTCTGCGAGGAAAAACCTGCTAACGCTGTTCAGGTAAGGACAGTACTACTGAAAATTGGAACGAATCCTAAAATAGTCGCCACTGATTGTGCTTTTGGGGCTGTTTTAATCAATAGGTGGTTTCCCTGTTTTCAAAGATTTCCGATACGAAAACCAAGAAAAAGTCTTCAATTAGAAAAGCCTCCTCTTAAAGGTGGTGGTTGTTGTTGCATTTTGTTTTGTGGCTGTTTTCCCGCGGGTGCCACCAGTCGAATGTTTTCCCGCGGATGGCAACAGTCGCATGTTTTCTCGCGCTTGGTGCCGTTTGCGTGCTTTTGCTGTGAGCTCTGATTCAGTGGTGCATTTCGTTATCGCGGCGTTTACTGTGATTGGCCAGATGTGATGACTTTGTTTTCGGTTATTTTCCGTGAAAACTTTTGTTGTTGTTGTCTTGTTTGTGATTAGGTTCTGGGAGGCCTGATGAACGAGAGCCACGACAGCTGTAGTAAGATGTACGAGTGCAGTTGTGAGGAACTCGACCAGTTGGTGAATCTCTGCAGGTATTCATTCAAATAGTCCTTACCACCTAATATACTCTAAAATAAACATCAAAAGGGACGGTAATAACTGTTTTTCTTACCTTATTAGAATTTGAAGCTATAATTGCGTGAAATCATCAAATATCTTTTTTCTCATGAAAATAAAAGACCTTTCTGGCCACTTAGAAACAAGTCTTTGCAACATGAATCACTGTATTTTTCAGGCAAGCTGGCGCAGTTGGTTCCAGGCTCACAGGAGCGGGATGGGGCGGTTGCACAGTATCACTGGTACCTGTTGACGTCATCGATGATTTCATGAAAAAAGTGCATGACGGGTACTATGCCGCTGACCCTGAGAAACTTCAACGAGTATCGGAGAGTCTGTTTGTTACTCAGCCAGGGAGTGGTGCGGCAATATTAAAGCTTAACTAACGGATAATTTTAAAGATTTATGGGAAGAGAACGTAGAGGGGTAAAAGATTTTTTTAAGAGACACGAGACAGTCTATTTGTTCACAGAGAAGTTAGTTTGGGTTTTTATTTTGTCAGTTTTCTTTCAGTAGAACTTTAGGCAGGTAGACATGCATGTAGGTATGTAGGTAGAGTTTTGTTTTCTTTGCGAATATTCCAGAACGTCATTAAATAGAAGGGCATTTTTCCTTGATGAGGGCATCAGGTTTATGTTTAAGGCCCCGCCAGTCCACACTACGCCGGAGAAATTTGAAAACGGGGTTTTCACTCTGAAAACGCAGCAAATGTTTTCCGTTCACACTTGGTCGGGAGAAATGTGAAAACGCAACAATCACCAGTCGTTTTGGAATTGCTTGAGGAAAGCTCTGTTTTTGTCACGGATTAGTGTGGACGGCAGGCCTAACCGTAGAAATAAAGCTGCGTTTTCAAATTTCTTCGGCGTAGTGTGGACGAGACGTAAAGGTTAGGAGCAGATTACGGTTAAGACGTGGTATAGGAGTTTGTTTGAATTATCAGCCCCAGGAATTTGATTGATTTCAACAAAAGCGGTTTTCTGATGCCATTGAAATACAATTTTGTTTTCGCTGTTTAATTGGTTTTCTTCGTTTACTGTTCGTGCAACGTACTCAGCCAATGAAAGAAAGGATGGAGAACCTTTTAGCCAATCAAGTCCAAGCTAAAACCAGTCGTGATTGGCTTAGTAGTTTTCCCGCGCTTTCTGTTGAAGATTACGCTCAGTCTATGGCACGACTTCCTAAAAGAAAACTGCTCTATGATAGCCTGTCAATGATCTTCATAAGGAAACTACTCTTTACAATTTAGGACTTTGAATTCCATAAAAGAGGCAATTTAAGATTTTTAAGTTATTAGAGAAAGCTATCAAAGATGGTATTGCAAAAAGGCTTTATTGCCCTGTTTTTCATTTTTTATTCGTGAACGTTGTTGAACAAACTACAGCGTAGCTAACGGTAAATAAATAGTCCATGAAGTGAAGTCTATAAAGAGAAAAACATTTTGAAAAACTTTCAAAAACAAAGTCTGATTCGCACTTCAAATCACAACATTTTCACTTGATCTTGTTTACAGCTACAGATGTAAGTAATTTGATTAAACTTTATCTATTCAGACACCAAGGGAAAAAAACTAATAAATCATATTTTCTAACTACTGATGTTTATTTGTTCATTTGTAAAGCAAACGTCAATCTTCGTGTGCCCATTTTATCCTTTCCATGAAAGTTCTCAAGCTTTCTCTCCTCTTCCTTCTGTAGAGCGCGGGAACGAGGTCGAAAAGACGAGTGAAAGACGTAACTTTACGGAGATGCACACAGTGACTGTGATTGGTTATGACTTGCGCGCGAAAATGCGAAACTGTGCAGCAGCCAATCAGAGACGCGACACGGATCTCTGTCAAGCTGCGTCATCCGTATGGAATTTTTGGGTGGAAACTCGCCCGAATTTCTCGCGGAAAAAAAATTCTATTTTCTCGAATATTTTCTCGAGGGAGGAAGAAATAAGACACTGGGAACGAGGTTGGCCATGAGAGAGGAATGGACCAATTTCGATGAATTAAAATTCAGCCTTACACAATAGAGCTGAGCACGAGGCTCTGGGGAATAAACCCCACAAACGCTGTAGTTATTCCCCAGAGCCTCGTACTGAGGCCTATTTTTTTAGGCTGAAATTTAATACATCGAAATTGGTCTATTTGAAAAACATACTGAAAACAGCTCCTACTGCAGAAATGAACTGTACTCCCATGATGTCAAAGGTCTTCACACTTCTTTTTGCAGCCTCTTGTTTGTTATTATAGTAAACACGAATAATAACAAGCGACGTAAATGACATCAAACTGAATGATATAACATACTTCCTCACCGTTTCATAAAACAACAACCCGAGCGTCTCATAAAACAACATGTGTATTTGTTTTTGTTTAATTAGTATAAATGAGAAGCGGCGGAATTTTGTGGTTTACCTTTTCAGCCTCGTCAATCGAGGAAATCTGCTGTGCAAATGTTGCCAGGAAAAAATCCAGTAAAACAACAAAGCCCTTCTGGCGCTTTTAACCGTAATGCGTTGTTTCCGCTCAGTGTTTTCAATATTCAATCCATTATTATACGTTGAAAGTTAAGTTAAGAGGGGCAAACACTCTAGATAATCACCGTTAAGAGGCGGAAAAGAGTGGTTATTTTAGAAGATCGTTAACTCGAAGAACATTTTAATTTTTTCGTTGATTTTTGGACAGCTAAGAGGTTCCAGACTGTTTAATTGAGCCGGAAAGGTATGTAGAAAAGTGAACGCCTACTGAAAAAAGGTTCTTTTGTCGGGCCGCGATCAAAGAAATTGGCTTTTTATTAAAAACTTTTAAACAAGCTACGTTAAGAGTTTAATGTAAGGTTTGAAAACTCATTAGTTAAATTGGTTTTTCCATTTAACAAAGCTTTTATCGGTACTAGTTCGCTCATTCATTCGAATAGGATGAAAGAATGGCCGAAGTTTTTGCAGAGCGGTATCTTAAGCGAAAGAACGTCGAGAGTTTTTCAGAAAACGCACCGACTAAATGGTAATGATTATTGTTTTACAAAATCTTCGCACTGCGAAGAATGTCGAGTATTCTGTAAGAAGATAGACGATCAAAGATTGAAAGGATGAAAGCAATTATATTGTATAGAGAAAAACGTCTTTCCTTCGCTGGCCTGTCACTAATCCGATTGATTGCCTCTTAAATAGTTGCCTCAGCTTTATTTCCATGTTGTTTTCGTTTAAGTGATCTTTGCCATTTAGCTTAAATTGCAATGAAATATTCATGGCATATGTTTTTTGTCTACATATACTGAAAATCAGATGGTAAGTTGGTTTTAAAAATCCCCCCTTTCAAAATCGCATTTATCGGGTCATTCAAAGAAGTTTTTCATCGGATTGAATGGCAGATCGATCATTAAAACTATCTCTATATCGCACTGAAAGCTGTGTTAAAAGTATACTTGCAACAATCTCTATTCTTCAGTTCGAAGTCACGCGAAATCCGCTTTCGCTATCATTGGCACAAATCTAGAATTCATTCGCTCAATTGAATGATTTTTAGCAGAGCTGGAGGAAAGAAAAGGCGAAGTTCATTCCAGTAGACTATGATTTACTAAATACTTGAAATATTTTTTATTAATTCTTCACAATCTCGATTTCGCGTCTTGCGAGTGTCAAATGTTCCATTCATATATCGCAGCAATAACGACGTTTCGGGATTTCAATCCACAATTCTTTACATTTGGAAGCCATTACAGTGTTCTGCATCAGTGTTCTGTTACAATGCTCTTGACATACAATGTGTCCATTACTTTAGCGTGCAGAAAATTTCCCTTATTTGACAGGTAGCAGAGATGGAAGGAAATTAGCGTTCTCTTCAAATTGTCACTTTTAAAGTGGTTTTATTTACATTATTAAGAGCAAGCAATGTCACTAGGTGAAAAGCAAGGATGTAAAATCCAGTGTAATGAAACTAAGAACAGTCAAAGAAAGCGTTGACTTTTGTATTACACGAAAAACCATCAAAATGTTAAGCGGGAAACCCAACTGAAAACCAGTAGAGAAGAAACGGAAAAGATCCACGGGCAGATACGACAGGGGTATAAAACTAGCATAGACAGTAGCGGTATTAACCTAAAATACAAATAAAAACAGGAAACACCTAAAAAATAGATGGTTGCCAAACAAGGAGCGAAGGAACACGCACGAAAATTCGAAATATGAGGCTAAAAAAATGGGCTCGTCTGGGACGCGTGTCAAGGAATTTTTCTTCCTATAGAGAAACGCCTCTTTAGACAATGAATCTCTTGGTATCTGGTTTCCCGTAAGACATCATCTCTTCGTAATCATCAACACACAGAATTCTGTTGTTAATTAAGTAAAATTTGTCCCCTACGCAGAATCTCTGATGGCATCTTTGACAGGAGAAGCACTCCAAGTGATAGACGTTTTCCCCGGCGCGCATCACCATCTCGAAGGCGGGAATTGTCTTGCAGCACACGGTGCAGAAGCCTTTAGTTCCGAACAACCTTAAAAGCGACAAATATAAACAATGAGTAATCTTTATCCGAGCCAAGTGGATACAAAATCGCATCCGGAGAAGCAAGAGGTCAAAGCAGTGATCCAACACAGTCGGACTAGCCAAAACGTTTTAACCCATTAGGCATGACTTAGTGAGGAGCTTTGGTCCGTGTGTGGTTCTCACGAATTGCCAAAAAAGCATGCCTGATGGAATATTTATCAATTGACGGACGTTTAACAGCTCACCGCTAAAAGGCTAGGAATACACTTGGAGGAAAATTGACATAGATGGACGGAAGTGCTAAAATGTGATCACATTTCTTGACAAGCATAACAAGTAAAGTATATTTAATAATGTGTAAAATTGTACTTTTGCGTGACGTTCTTTAGAAAACAGAGTGTTTTTAATCTAAGCACAGACAATCCGTCCCAATCCCATTAAATGCTTCACATCTGATTGCAGGCTGTCGTTAATAGAATCGTCTGCAAAGGTAATGAATGACAAGACACAAAACTGGAACATTCACGAAAGTGTCGCCATCAGTTAGCCAAACAAAATAACGACGAAATAAACCGATTTCATTACTAAGTAAAACGTCTGCAATTCAGAGAGAGAGAGAGTTAAAAATCCCAAATCTGTAGAGTAAATAGTGGACTGTGAAAAACACGTTTGCCTATACCCACCTCAAATAATCTCTTCTACAAAGAATTAAATTCGCTTTTGTGTAGAGAGTGGATCCAACTTCACCCAGGCGACATTCGCAACAGCCGCATTTCAAGCAATCTTCGTGCCAATAGCGGTCTAGCGCCTTCAGAAGGAATCGATCATTAATAGGACAACCGCAGCCTCCACACAATCGCTTGTTCGGGGGTTCTTTGAGAAAATCAAATTTCTCTGTCGCTAGAGAACAGCAAGAAAACATTATAACACTGAAAAACCTTCACTTATGTTTCAAAGACGCTAAGCGTTCAGAACGAAGTTACGTCTAAAATCCTACAATCAAAAATAATAAGAAACTTCATATAATTTTATTGAATAAACAAGCCCGTTTTGTCTGCGTAGGAGGCTAGTTTTCATACGATAAAGCGAACATTCTTTAAATCCATTGACTAACAATGTTTTTGCGTGGGACAGCTATTGTAGCGCGTGTTGAAAGCGAAGTTCCCCTCAAGCACACGAAGGGTTTCTTTCACGGCTCGCGACGGTTGAAGGGTTTCAGCCGGCGACTGTTCGAAGCAGATACAAGGCAATACAGTAGCCATTGTTAGATATAAATCTCCCAAGGCTTTCCGTTATTGGCGTTGTGTTTACTAGCTCTCCACGCTACGATCTGATAGCACATAAACCGTATTACAAAGGTCGCCCAATCGACCAAATATTCCCAAACAAATCGAGGCACTCTGGTAGATAACTCACCCATCAGCCTTTCCAGAAATCCTCTGCTTTCCCTTGTGGATTTCCTCAGCGTCAAAGACGGCTCGTTTTTTCGCGACTCCACTTTACCACGTTCGTCCGACAGCCACGAAACTCAAACTAATATGATCAGGCATGATCACCGATCTCTATATATTCACATTTCCTGTCCATTAGCTTGACTGTCAATTACTATGTTGCGTTAATCGAAATCCAACTAGAACAAGGCCGCTTTCCTTTGTTCTGCAAATGACAAGTTTATTGTTTCATTTAGTGCCTCCACGTTCACCAAATGCGTGTCATTTGTCCAGAATGATTCAACACTTGATACCTCGAGGTTTCGAGTTCACGGTCTATAGTATCGCCAGAGATCTTTTTCGGGGCGTTTACAAATTGGCTGCAAGAGATCGTTTCGAAGAGCGAGTCACGGTCGTGTGATCGTCCACGATTTGGCGACTTATTAAACGCAAATGACTTTGTTAGTACAAGGAAAATTTACAACTTCTATGAGCAAATATTTAGACGGGTCGATCTCCCCTATTGTGCCGCTAATGTTTTTTACAGACATCGAAGTGACAAATAGTTTGCTTAAGAAGCTAATTAACATTTTACCGGAGATGGCTTGAAAATAACAACGACACTTCTGGTTATTGTTAAACAACAGCTTAACTTCGGGAGATTCGCTCGCGCGTTTTATGTGGCTTTCAGTCCCACAATGTATACGCATCGATACATGAACGATCTTGACTTTCCTGGCAAGTTTCTGAAGATCTCAAAACGTCATGTTTACCGCTGCCGAGTCAGACAGACCTGGTGAATGATCATCACTGCCAACTAAATTGGATTTTTCTTTGTTTATAAGGCGAAAAATTAATGACCTCGGTGGTTAATAGAAGCCAGTCCGGATGTGAATCAAATTACGCGTAAGAATTTACGGCTCGTCCAGGGTAAACTACACTTATTGCATCCGCGAGAGGACTTTTTATAAAAAGTACATTATTATTTCTTGAGAAGGAACCGATACAGGCAGACGATTGCTATAACAGCTTTGTTCATCCAATTAGTCGTAACGCTGAGCAAACTAAGATTTTAAATTCTCCAAATGAAATTAACTTCAAAAATTATGATTTAAACAGCATGTCCCCTATGTAGGCGACTTTCTGTCAAAAGAAAACATCGACCTCACAAAGCTGGCATATTCATTAAAAGATAGAAAACAGAAAGCTAATGAAAAACACAAGGTAATTTAGACCTGTCAAGTTTAAAATTTCAGCAAAAATTAAAAATACCGGAGGCATTGATTGCAATGTGTGAAGTGAGGTACTTAGTAACTTGACAGAAGCGAAAAAATGTTGAACCCGTGGTAAACAGGTGTACAACCCAAGGAAGTTAAATAGATGCTTTGAACTGCGAAATAAAGGAGTTATAATATGAAGACAAAGTAAATAAGCTTGGTATATTTATACCGTCGAAGACGATAAATTGATACACTCTTTAAAAGAGTAGTAATAACCTAATCATTTTATAAGGTTATATGTTGGCGGATGTCGAGTTTTGCGCCATTTGATTTCGAAATGTCCTTGAAATCTAAAATTTTCTCATTTTGAGAACAAAGAGCATGGTAATTCTTATATTACAGTAACTAACCCTGAAGCTCATTCAAACTGTTTGTATACGTTCCCAGCCATTGACAGGTAACAAAATTGTTGGTTCCAAGATGGATTTGAACAAAGGCTGATTCATTCTGTAGATGTGTCTGTCAGTTCCTCAACAAATGAAAAGGAAATTTATGCTCTTTCCCAAATTTCAAACGTGGGTACACGCTTAGCATTTTCTTAGGGCGTTCGGCTCTTGTCTTGGAAAAAAAAAGTTCCAATTACGCTAATTCAGTCACTAAAGACTGCTCAGATCCAAACCAATAGAAGATACACGCCGGAAAATTGATAGAGCTCAGTTGTGGAATAAATTACCTATAGAACTAAGACAAGCAACTTCATAAACCGAGTTCAAGACTAAACTAAGTCGCCACAGTTTTAAGTGATTTTTTCAACAAGGCCTCCATGAAGATACCCTTCGAGCGGGGTCTCCTTCGATCTAGGAAGATCGAAGGAGACTCCGTTCGTAGGGTACCATGAAAAGCGCGTTTTTATTTGTTTGGATTCTTCTCTCTTTGATTTTAGTTAGGAAGATAGGTAGCTAGTTGATTATCGTAAATAGACCGATGGAAATACCGTGTTTAAACAAAGTTATCGTATCGTATCGTATGGAAAGATAAGGAGGGAGAGGTAGGGAGGGAAATGAGGTCGGTGGGAGGGGGATTCTTCATTGAAGATGTCGGACTAATGGTCGAACGTCCTAGGAGCTAAAATCTACAGTAAGCAATCTCCCGGGTACGACAGAGTAAATTTGAGCCTCACGTACAAGATAACATGAACGGGTGGCGCGACCACAAAAACGTGATTCTGGGACCTTTAATAAAAGAGTTTCTATCAATGACCCGTATATACGATGTTCCCATCTTAGGCGGGTATGGTATTCAGTCCCCNCCCCCCCCACCCCACGAAATAAGTGATGTACGATAGGGTACGGGTAATCAAGGAACGATGAGTCATGAAGAACTCTTAGACTACTCTTGGGGGGAGGGGAACTCCGAAATCATACGCTTCAATGTTCTTTAGGCTGTGTCACAGAAAAACAAGGTAGGAGTAATTTTCGTCGCATACATGAAGTACACCTGTATTGGTTCACAGGACGCAAATAATATTTTGACCAATCTGCGGGAACACAGTGTCATGTTATTAAGATAAGCTATATTTCCATACAGTGACCACAAATACCGTCGTGTATCGCTACACCGGAATCTACACCACACAGGTTCTCGGAGAAAGGACCAAAATCAGGTCAGAATCGCCTCAAACTAACACCGTTAACCGTGACAGAATAGCATCAAACCCTGACACATAGCATGACAGTAACGCGTCAAAAATACCGTCATCTACGTGACATACTTGCTTCAAAATAGCGCGACAGAATTGCAATAAAACAACATGACCTGAGCTAGCCTTCATCTGAATTCGAATCTGACTCTTCATTGTCTCCTTCGTCAGATTCATCAAAAAAGTCTGCATGACTGGTTTCCAGTTCATAATCAGTAATGTTCGTCACTTTCTTATCTTTCCTTTTGGTTTGTTGTTCCTCTCGATTCCAGTCTTTCATCTTCGCGCCCATCATGAAATCATCCCGTAAAATATTCCATGACGATGAATTGTCTGTTGTGGTGCTGTCGTTAGTCTGACAACCAAACGAAAGAAACAACGAAATTGGTATAATGGAGTGAAAAAACCCCGGAGCTTTCCTTTGTCTCTAAAAATTGGTCCAAAAGGTTCTTCACAAGATGGTTATTGCTATCCATGGGATAAATCACTATCCAGTGGATAGTGTAGCCTGCTTTGTCGACTCTTATCCACTTGATAGTGACTTATCCGGTAGATAGCGTTATCGAACCTTCTAACAACTGGGTCCTGACAAATTTGCGCTGATGACGTAGCTCTACAAAGTGTCTCTGATTGGTTGTTGCGCGATGATAAAATTGTCGCGCGAAAATAGCAACCAATCACAAATACTGCACTGATCTCTGTAGAGCCGCTTCATCAGAATGGAATTTTTCGTGTCTATCGAGCGCGGACAAAAATGACCGAGCAAAGAGTGAGCTAGGCAAAGAGGGACATCCGGTTTGTACACCAAACTTGTGTGCAACAGCATCACAAGAGAGGTTAAGAAGTGTTGCAAGATTCAGTGGTTCCAAATACTATCTTTTTGCACTGTATAAAGGTTTTGAACCCGCAACATAAACACAGCCGTACATGATAGGTTTTATTCAACTTGCAACATCGACGCTGTGTTCATTGTGTGAATAGGATTGTCAGCAATAGAGATGAGCTTCTACACTCGCTCGTACAGCTCTACCTGGGAAGATAAGTTTACATTAAGCTTAGTTACCTTCTCTTTCTGTTTCTCGTTCACTTCCCGAGTCCGTGCTTTATCTGAACTACTTTTCAGCATGTCAAGAAAAGCAGACTTCGACATTGATTCCACAACTAAAGGAAACAAAATTCAAGAAACATCAATTTCAATGAAGCCTTGACCATGCAAGGAATTGACTAGAGCAGGAAAGACATGCAGGGTGAAATACGAGTTAGCTATGAATAACTTCCCTTATTGCGTGGCTTTGAGTAGTACAACGGCACCTCTGCACAAAAGCCTTATACCCATTTTCAGACAGTGTGAAACACGGACAGCGAATGGTTTCCTATTTCTTTTTAAATTGAAAGATTTATTATGAGAAATTAACCCATCAAAACATAGCACAAGTAGTCACACCGGAAATCCCAGCGTCATCCTGCCAGTGTGCCATTACTTTATGCTGCTTAGGAATGCCCGCACTTGCAAAAACCGTGGGCTCAGTAAATCCTACCTACAGGCACAGCTCATGCGCGCTCCAGGGGAGGGAGCCCAAAATGGAAAGTGTGGGAATGCTCAACGCCTTTCTTTTTTAGGGGTAGGAATTACAGATTTTGGTATCAATTACACTGTAAGATGGTCAGAATGGAACCTAAATATTTACACTGATCAGGGTCCCTTATAAGAATGCGTGCAAAGAAAAAATAATTGAAAAAACCCCGTCATACTGCTTTGATGGTTAAGATTAATCAGGAAGGAAATCTTTAAAATTCCTTCACAGATGAAAACATTGACTCAATAAGAAAGTGCTTATCATCATTTTAGTCAACACAGTTCAAATATTGGGTCTGCCTCTTGTTTTGTTCGTTTTAGAATGGCACTCCATAGACAAAGAGCCAAAAAAAGTTTTGGCTTGCCCAGAAAATGGAATTACAAGGGTTCAATACATATTTTCAGGCTAGTATCTCCACACCTTTACCTTGGGAGACCCACATGGGATCATTTTCCAGACTCATTACTAAACAAAATTAAGACATTTTCTTTAACTTGTAATCTCTCACCTTTTGATTTTTTGGCTTCAGTAGGAGCAGACCTAAGCTTACTTTCCATCTCTTTCTGGTGTTTGCTGACTGCATTGAACAGTTTTACAACTGAAATTGAAGAAGCAGGCCACTTGTTAGCAGAGCAGCAGCTAACACAGAAGTTTGAAATTTGTTGTCTAAGGGAGGCGGCGTGGCCAAGTGGTTTAGGGCGCTGGATTTGAAATCTGGAGGTCCCTGGTTCAAATCCTCCGCCCTACCGCTATCCGGATTTGTTCTTGGTAGCCCCGAGTTCAACTCCTCGGCCGCGTGGTGTAAATAGCCAACTGGTCAGCCTCCCACCAGTTGGGATTCTTAATAGTTTATGTTATATTTGAAATATTTGTTTACTTATTTACAGTGTCCCCAACTAGCACATTAGTGCTAAATACATCGACACTTAAATAAAGTGATTATTTATTTGTCTCTTTGGCGGTACAGAACATATTTAACAATTAGATTATGAGATCCAGATCTCTGAGGTGATAGTTGATGAGGCCGAAGGCCAAAGGCTGAATCAACCACCCTCTGAATGGAAATTAAGAGCGAATAATCTAATAGTAGATGAAATTGAATGAAATTTCCTTCAAATAACAATTCCAATTATTTGTGGTCTTAATCTTAGTATTAAGATTTAAGCTTAAGAGAATTCACGTGGACTGAATTGTCAATCTGACATTTGCAGTTGTGTATGCATGCATCCTTATCAGTTTCTTTAACAATTTTGAGCATTGTTAATTCAAGAAACCTAAGTGCTCCTTTTAGTCTTCTCAGGAATTTGATTATCTCTTTGTTTCTTAATGTTTTTCAAACTTCTGAGAAACAAAGAAACATTGCAATTTTGTCTACCACAGCAAGCCACTGCACATTTATAGCTGATAGTGTGCAATGGCTCAGCCAATCAGAATACAGCATTTGCATTAGTTTACTGCTGCAATCTGATTGGCTGGACTACTGGTACATTATCAGCCATTAGAGTGCAGTAGTTGGAGGTTTACATAGTGGCCAGTAATGTTTTCTCATTTCTTCGAAGATTTGAGAAAGATTAAAAAGTATTTTCTGATAATTCAATTGTATTTCCCCAAAAACACTCAAGAAAGGAATTGACCACAGTGTGGCTTAAAAACCTCAAAATATTTCAAGCACCCTAATAAAAAATTAGATTGTTTAATAGCTCTCTATTTGTATGAAGAGATAGTTAATTCGGCCTTCAGTCTCATCAACTGTCACCTCATAGAAATCCTGAGCACATAATCTAATTGTTTAATCGGTAATGAGTGGCTTAATTATTATTATAGACTGTTACCTCCTCTTGTTGCTATTTTTACTAAATTCTTTTCATAATCCATCGTTGAACCATCAGGTTTGATGTGGTCCTTTTCAAGCATAGCATGACGTTCTTGGCTTTTCAGCTTATGAAGAAAAGCAAAAGAAAACCTCATTTACTTGTAACAAAAAATACACCTGACAGAATGTCAAATTTTGGCAGTTTTTACCCTCTTTGAAGTGATTTCCTCCTTCCTCTCAGTTCTTCTCTTTTCAATCTTCTTGTACTTCACTAACACAGGAGGCTATAACCATGAAAATAAAAAAATGAAGTCAGCTCACTGTTTTTGAAAGACCTTTTTGAAAAACAGAAGGAAAGCGATGTGCAACAAAACAAAAGAAACTGCGGAGCAATGGGCAAAGCATGTTTACAATGAGGCACTCTTGACAGACATGAAATCTAAAATTGGGGACTTTAAGATATGGTACGGCTAGGCTGTAGTATGGCAGCAGATAGTGAAGATCACTTCTGGTGACGTCATGACGCACGTACCAGTATGGCTTTCCCGCCATAGCCTTGCTTTCTACTACGGGAAAGTGTCTGGTTTCACATACTCTTCACTACGTGAGTATAAGCCTGCTGTTTACTTCTCATTTTAACGCTTTTTTCACTGTTTGAACAGCCTAGTTTGAAGATAAAGTTCTCAATCATAAAATCACTTCTAAGATCATTGTTTCTTTGTCATTTGTACAGAAAATTTGAACGATTTTAACACCTACCGCGAGATGATCAATTCAGTCATGTTAGTATGGGGCCGAACAGCTGTAAATAAGAAAGCTTCGCATGTTCTAATTTGAGCTATAATTGTTTATTACTGTTCAAAATGTATTTCACTATAATCGAAAGTTTTGTATTTTCAGGCTTATCACGTAATCGTTGTACGAACAACATGTCCATGTTGAAATCGAGCTTTTTTATATCAGAGTTTATATTTTGTTTTGTGATTGGAATTACAGGCAGTTCTATCAAGTTCTAAAAGGCAAATCTGAGTTCTGGGTGATGTAAGACGGATATAGGAGAAGGAAATCATTGTCATTAATCAAGCTTATTTCGTATGAAAGTAGAATAATCTCTGGTTTCCTTGAAAGTAGTCATTTTTGTAAAGACATGTAGAGACTGTACGTACCGTTGCCGCACAGCAAAATCTTTATCATTTGAGTTTGACGGGTAAAACACCCTTGTCAGCCTAGTCCCCCACAGCCAAAGTAGCCATAGTGGCGCCTCACCGTAGTGTTTCTTAAAGTCTCTACTGAAAGTATTTGATATAGGATCACTGGATTAAGCTGTTTGCCCTGAAAAGGTTGCTGAGGAGTCCATGTCTTTTGGGGATTATGACACCTTGATGGTAATTTACTTTTATTAAAAAGTCTTTTTTTCCCTAGTAACTTGTGCATGTTTTAATATTTCATTTTCATTTTTTTGGAAAATGTTACCTTGAATAATGAACCTTAATTTAGTTGAAAAAAAGAAAACTTGGCAAAAGTAGCCCGCAAAGGTTTGGAGTAACCTTTAGCTAATAACAAATGTCAAAACAAGCAAGACACTCTCATTGTATATTTTCCCCTTTTTTTAAATGATTATACTGGAACAATCTCCTTAGCAGTGCTAGTCCTTCCAAAAAATGCTTTATAATTACATGAAGTCTCAGGCAAGTTAACTCGTTGAATTCTGATACCTTATTCTCTGGAAGTTCCTTTTGAAGAATTCTGGCCATAGCATCAGCCCATCCTTGATTGGCTTCTTCATTGTCACCTTTGTTGAGGAGTTTAATTTTTTTCAGTTGCAATACAATCTAGTTATGCAATGGTCTAGTGGTAGACTGTGAAATATCAAAACATGTGCACACCTTTTTCTGAACAACTGACCAGTTTTAAGTTCGTTTTTACTGAAATTTGGCACTTTATGCTAAATGTTCAAGATCATAAGCTTGGTTGACAATAATGTTGGGGAAGAATAGAATTTATTTTCTTACTGATACAGATTAGATTACATAAATCAAGAGCATTCACAGTGTACATTGTTCTGAGTTTTAATAGCGGTTTGGTCAACTTATCTAAGCTTATGTAGCTAGTTAGGGAAAACACTTTTTACTTTACTTACCCCCGCTTACCCATAACCAGATAAACAGTTTTCATCAACTGAATCCAGTTTCTAAGAAAGAACCAACTAAGGTTCCTAGAACCAGTGAAATTCTAAGATCTTAACTTCTTAAACAAAACTTTGATAGACCTAAACATGATTTCAGAATAAGCTCAACTCACGTGGAAACCCCATTATTGTTTTTAACATGAGGCGTATTGCAAAACTCGTCTTATACTTCGAACCAATGCTCGTCAAAATTGAAAAATAATAATAAATTTAATAGTTAAAGCTAACCTTCGGTCCCCATTCTCTCCTCTGCATCTGAAAGAGTTATTTCAAAACGTCCATCTACTTCTGCGCTATCGTCCGCCATCTTTGATTCGGTTGTTGTTCAACTGACCAAACAGCGCAGGCTCATCATATGGCTGTGCAGCCAGACCCGATTGTTTTTTGGTTTTTTAAGAGTTTAGACCTTTTGAAATCACTAGGAACTTTAAATTATGGTGGAGCCACAAGGTTCTACGAGAAACTATACCAGATTACCTTCCACCAACTGCGAACTTAAGCCAGTCGATGTGGTAAGTAATGTTAAATGAAATTGTCTTCAAAGTGCACCTGAGATAAACTTATTTGTTATATATTGTTATAGCATGCAGTCACGATTTCAAAAAAATTCTGTAAACCTTCCAGAAGACATGCAAATATTTTCATTTCTCGTAGAAATCGTTTGCAAGATTTATTTTGAAAGAATTTAGCGGCAATATCACCAGATTTGTAGTCTGGTCTTTCAAGGGTCATTTGAGTCAGAGATTGAATAACTTTCATTCAATATCCTTTAGCAAGGTTAAAATTGCCCTACCTTAGATTTTCATACCCAGTTTGAATTGGAGAGTTGTGTTTCTGTTGGTTTTTAGAGAGAGGAAGGGTATAGATATCAGTACAGGAGGTCTAAACTCTCATGCTTCCTGTAGCATACAATCCCAGCTGTTTTTTCTTCTTTAAATCCCTACCATCACTTTGGAAAGCTGAAAAAAGTTTTACTTAGTTCCTTTCACTTTGTGAAATTACACTTCCCATCCTCTCTCTTTACACCTAGCCACCTGTAAACTTCCTGTCCTGATTACTGCCAGATTGCCCCCACCCCCAAGCCAGTTGTATACTTCATGAGGAATTGTTTAACTATGAATGAGAACTTGATGACCTCAGGGTTTCTTACATTTATTACACAACAGTAAGGGGAATTTTGATTTTGACTTTTTCTCTTTTGTCGACAGTTCAAACAGGCTGTTCCTAAGCTTATCCCATTCTTCAAGACATTCTGTATCTACTTCATACTGTGGCTTCCAGAAGCAGAGAATCCTACAATACTTGCGGCTGTGATCAAGATTCTACCCATCTTATGCCTCTGTGGTTTTGTTATCATGCAAGGAGTGAGCCTGTCGGCCAACCATGACTACAATCGACGCATTCTCCTAGGCCTTATCTTCTCTCTGTTTGGTGATATATTTATTGTGTGGGAACACAGCCACTTTCACTTTGGTGTTGTTTCATTTGGTGTGGCTCATCTGTTGTATGCTACAGCATTTGGCTTTGAACCAATAAACGTAATGGTATTTTTGGCTCTCCTGGTCCCAAGTGTGCAGACATATTGCTTATACCTGCCAAACTTGGAAGGTTTCCTAATAGGAGCCATTGGAGGGTACATGCTTATGATTACGATCATGATTTGGAGAGCCATTACAGGTCTGCAGGTTTCTTTACGTGGCAAAGCCTGGCAATGGACCAAACTTTGTTCCTGTATAGGTGCTGTTTCGTTTGGTATTTCAGATCTGATTCTTGGCTTAAACAAGTTCTACTTACCAATCCCTTTTGCCCGGGCCATTGTCATGGTAACATACTACGGTGCACAATTGGGAATTGCCTTGTCTTCGTTCACAGTCAACCAGGGTGAAATACAAAAAGCCAAGAAATAACTTCGTTTGATATTGCAGCCTCAATAAGTTAGACAGTAACTGGTTGCTGCCAGAGAAGGGTGGGTGGGGGAGGGAGGTGAGGTGAATCAGTGAATGAAAAAGTAAAAGAGATAGGAAAGAATACACATTTTACCTAGAAGGAAAAAAAAACAAAAACATTGATTATGGCCCAACCCACGCCACAGAAAAATTTTATCAAAAAAGTCCTGTCTCCTTGTCGTTTTTATGTCAAAGCACCCTCACTGAGGTTGTACAAAATTTTATATTTACTCGAATCAGTTGCCAATTATTTTAGGAATCCTTAAAATTATTTAATTATCGTTCATAGTGGTTTCAATTTTTTAAAGAAACATTTTATACCATTTTGATAATGATCAGGTTTATTCTGACAGTCTGGTAAGCAAATCTCAATTGCAGACTATCCACAAGCTCACAGCAGGCAGATGTATGCCAAGATTATTAAGTGTCCTTGTAGCATGCACAAAATGTTTTCATACATCTTGTCTACTTGACCCTCATCATAACAATCAGCTGAAAATTTTCAGTGTGCCTAGTATGTATAAGAAGTTTAAAAGTGTTAAAAGTGCAAAATAGTTCTTTTTTAACCTTTTAAACTGTTATATATATTTTAATGAGTAATGCATGTAATAATTTGTCGGTAAAAGCATGATTCTCCTGTCATTTTCTTGCTGTCCTCATGACAATTTTGAGGAAAATTTTAGAAATTCGAAGATTTACTTTGTTTCTAAAATCCATCCTAAGTATTGCTTTAGCTGAGCCAGTTTCATTAATGAAAGTAAATCTTCAGATAAACAAAAAATTACATATCAATTTTACTTAAATTAAGATACATGTAATGTCATTTACCTTATTAAAAGAAAGTAATTCCTGATGTATGAAATTTGTTTTCAACAAAAGATAAATATCTGTAAAATAGATTTTTATGTGTACCTTGGATGTTAATGAGACAACCTCTGTGCAAAAAAGGTGTGGTTGTATAAAAGGGGGATAATGCATTGAAAGGGTTCTCAAAAGTAGTCGTCATGATAACATTTTACGAAACCTGTCTGTTTTTTTGGATCACGTGTACTGAAGGAATCTGCAGTCAAGTGTCAATTGATATCCTCAATCAACTCTCAATCAATATCTCAATCAACTCTCGATCAACACCTCGATTGATACTCGGTCAACACTCAATTGACATCTCAGTTGGCAGTCATTTGGGAGTGGACTAATTTTCGCAGACATGCCAATGAGTGTTGATTGATACATATGAGTCAGTCGACTCTCGGCCAACTACCGACTGACTGTCAATTGAATGTTAGTCTAGTGTCAACTGAGTACCGATTGAGATGTTGATCAAGTGTCGATCAACATGACAACTGAGTGTCGATCAAGGGTCGATTGAGAGCATCGATCAATGCCCGACCTTGGATACCCTTAGTACATGTGATCTGTTTCTTTTTGCGAAGTGCAGAGCCACCTTTAAGTTTTGACTTTCACCCTCTGCCAGCAGTACCTCCAAAACATATTTGGAGTCAATTTTCTTTTTCCTCAACTTATGACAACCTTTGTAACTAATTTGACGAAAAAAAAAAGAAAAACTTTACCAACTCCTTACAAACACCACAATTTACATTTTGTGCTTAGCAACTTTTTACCATTCATAAGAATGTGTAGATATCCATGATAACCGTGAGGGTATGAGTGTTCTATTTCTCTCCCGCCAGCAAGCAGTTAACATCCAGGGCCGGGTTGTTCAAAGCCCGATTAAGCTAACCCTGGATTAGCGAGAATTTTGATTTGAGTTTTGTAACTTTTCGGTGAGGTTTTCTGTTTATGTTTGTCCTTCAGTTTTGAGCTTGACTAAGCTCAAACTACACAAAACGTGAGCAGTAAAAAACATTTTTATGCAAGAAAAATTAATACTTCGGTTAACTTTTAAACCTGGGTTAGCGTTGTCAAACAACCCGGCCCAGTATATATTGAAACTGACGCACATCTCGGGCTTGAAGACCTTGAACAACCTCGTCAAGGTTGCATGATTTCTGAAACTTGGGGTCAACAAAGGTCCCCACAGAAAATTCAAACACGAATAAATTTAGACTGATTTTAATTTCACAATATTTTCAGCTACGTGACATGGAAAATTAAACAATTACGTAACGCGATTTTATCGACTTTTTGTCTCAGGAAGATATAACATCGGCACTTGACCAGACTAAAGCGATAAAAGGCCGTAAAATGTTTCAAAGAAGATCAGCTCAGTTTGTCATAAGATAGTCATGACATGATCATGTGATCTCTCAGTAACAAAAACTATTTCCCTCACCATTCATACGTAAGTGATTAATTATATTGATTTTAAAACTTTGTGGGCAGATTCACGGAAAATGAACATTGTTCCCACTTACCTGTTCGCTTTAGCGATTAGGTGACGTCAGAATACTTGTCACGTGTCCTGTGTTCGTGTGCTAAAAACGTCACGAGTGTCACGATCGCTTCAGTTTGTCGTGTTTACAGGTGGAAAACCAACGAGTGTACGAACGGAACCATGATAAAGAACGAGAGAAACTGCTCTGTTCGAGCAGATTCGTTTGTTTTACAATACAGATTAGACAGAGCTGAAGTGGTAAGTACAATCTGAACAAAGGAGTCATTTTGATGCTTTTTTAAATGCTGTAGCTTCGCGCCATTACGCCACAAAGGTTGTTTGCTTTCTTCCTCGGTCGTGTTGCATTGGGCCGTGTTTACAATCTTTCTTTTGTGACGAACTCCTTTTGCCACTTTCCGTACGATTCACTTCGTAAGGAAAAGTAGATAAAAAGCTTCGCTTACTCCAGCTAATTAGATTCTAATAATGACAACAATATTTACGTCGTGGTTTTGGCAAATTTAATGCCGTTTCCCGATTGTCAGTACTTCACAAAATACACTGTAACAAGTTGCGTGGATCAAAACGTTATTAAAAACTTGCCTGCCATTAATT